CACTTACTTTGCAACACATAAAGTTACTCGTAATCGAAGGAAATTTAATTCTGAAAAAATATTTTTTTAAATTAATCAAATTAAAGAATCTTTTTTTTTTTCTTTTTTGTTGTTGCCTGGTCATGTACAGAAGGATGTTATTTCAGAAGGGGGGGGGGTTAGTACAGAAAGGCTAAAATTTTAGGTTGTTAAACTCACGAAAAATAATACAGTAAATTATAGTTTAATTCACTACCTTCTAATCTTATAATCCATGCTTTTAAAAATGAATACTTCCGTTTTGGTGAAAGGTAACTGTTTTCGAATATAGCTCGCATTGAATTGTGAGGGGGAACAGATTTTGGTGACATTCAGAATGCAGCCTTCAAGATGGCTTCGACAGAATAAGAACACATTTCATTTGATTGCTTTTTTTGATTTGCAACAGGCGATGGAATGTGTTCTTTTCCAAAATAAGGCAACAAACTAAGGCATTATGGTGCACATTCCAAGTAGTTGAATTGTATTTTTTTGGGGGGAGGGGGGGGGGGGGGAATCGATGTGAAGGTTTAAAAAGTAATCGATTTATGTTTTTAGAAACGTTAAACAGTACGATTACAAAATGAATCAGGTCGTCAACCTCTGAGAATATTCGAATACTAGTTTCAAAGGTCATAGGTCAGAACGGTTGATGCACAAGTTGGGCCCCAGTTCCATTTCATCGTCATACTAATATTTGTAACATCCATGATCCTAAATTAAAAGTTAGAATGACAACAAAAAATGACATCAATAATCCTAATTCCGAGTTACACAAAAATTTGTCACATTAAAAATCCTCTTTACAAAGTTGCAAAATGTGTAAATACAAAATGCAAATTAAAAAATAAAAAAAAAATTTAAATATCAAGAATTCAAATTCCAAGACAAACACATTTGTAGCATTAAGGATCTCAAGTCTTAGTTTACACCAATTTATACAATCAAGAATTCCAATTAAAAAAATAACACAAATTACACCAGTTTTACCAACCAAATGTCTGACACTGTTCGACGCCTTTACACCAAATGTCTGACACTGTTCGACGCCTTTACACCAAATGTCTAACACTGTTCGACGCCTTTACACCAAATGTCTGACACTGTTCGACGCCTTTACACCAAATTTCTGACAATGTTCGACGCCTTTACACCAAACGTCTGACACTGTTCGACGCCTTTACACCAAATGTCTGACACTGTTCGACGCCTTTACACCAAATGTCTGACACTGTTCGACGCCTTTACACCAAACGTCTGACACTGTTCGACGCCTTTACACCAAACGTCTGACACTGTTCGACGCCTTTACACCAAATGTCTCTTTACGCATGAGTCAACTTTGACAAGTCTGCTTTGGGATACTAATGTGTCAATTAAATGTTACACGTGCACCCATGACAGACTGCACAATTACATTTCATTAAAATAAGATTACATCTACTGAACCCAGACCATGAGTAATTCACAATCTGGTTTCATAATACCATTAAACGCGCTATTCAATAAAATACTCGCTTTGAAATAAGCAACAAAAAAAAAAACAATCTTGGATATTTATGTTCTATGTTGCCTCTATTTTTTCCAACCGATTCTCTCATTACATACATGACAAAAAATTAGCCAAACATTTCAAAGCGACTTTCACTTAAGACGAAAAAAAATAATCCTTTAAATTTTGCTACAAAAAAAATGATCCGATAATCTGGAATAAAACCAATCACATGCTGGCTGTGGGTATTATTGTGATTATATTTATCGCATTTATATTTAAGCCAGCCATAATTCATCATAGGCATCAGAAAATTTTTATGTTTTAAGATCCCAACATCTGAACGTCGATAAAATATAGTTTTTGTTTCATGGCTGTGTGAGATGGGGTGACATTAAAAGGCAGAGAGAGAGAGAGAGAGAGAGAGAGAGAGAGAGAGAGAGAGAGAGAGAGAGAGAAACAGGAGAGAGAGAGAGAGAGAGAGAGAGAGAGAGGATGAGAGAGAGAGAGAGAGAGAGAGAGAGAGAGAGAGAGAGGGAGAGAGAGAGACGAGAGGAGAGAGAGAGAGGGATTTATGTTTTAAGATACCAACATATGAACGTCGATAAAATATAGTTTTTGTTTCATGGGTGTGTGAGAGGGGGTGAGATTAAAAGGGAGAGAGAGAGAGAGAGAGAGAGAGAGAGAGAGAGAGAGAGAGAGAAAGAGAGAGAAACAGGAGAGAGAGAAAGAGAGAGAAAGAGAGACAGTATGAGAGAAAGAGAGAGAGAGACAGAGAGGGAGAGAGAGAGGGAGAGAGAGAGAGGAGAGGAGAGAGAGAGATGGGGATACGAGATAAAAGAAATGGTGTAAGAGATAGTGAGAGCAAGACAGACACTGTATAATGAAGAAAATATAAGAGAGAGAGAAAGATAATGGCAGAAGAGGAAGCAAGGGAGTAGGGAGATAAGAAAGAGAAAAAGAGGGGAGGGGTAGAGAGCAAGGGAGAAAGTAGATAAGAGAGAAAATATAAGAGAGAGAGAGAGAGAGATGGCGAAGAGATAGAGAGGAATGAGAAAAGATATAAGTGATTTAAGATCCGAGAGAGCAAGAGATAAAGGAGAGAGGAGAGAAGATATATGAGAAAGAGAGAGGGGGGCATACTAAGAAGAGAAAATATAAGAGATAGACAGAGGGGAAGAGAGAGGGCCCATACAATTTTTTCATGAATTTGGAGCTTACGTTTCAAAAAGCATAAATCTATTTTCTAGGACATACCTAAGGCACGTACTGGAAAATGTTAATTTAATTTTTAAGATAAATTTAAGGTATTTGAATTTTAAGCTTCTTGTTTTTAAGGTATTGTGGTGGTATGTGATTGAATGGAAATTATGGTGGTGGTAGGTATTGTGGTGGCAGGCGAAGTAAGGAGAGTTGTTGTGGTGGTAGATGTTGTAGTGTTTTGTGTTACGGCGCTAGGTGTTGTGTTGATAGGTGTTGTGTCGAGATGTGTTTTGGTGACACGTCTTGCAACGGTAGGTTTTTGTGGTAAATGTAGTGGTAGGTGGCGTGCTGGTTTAAGGTGTTGTGATGATAGGTGGTTTAGTGGTGGGTCTAGTCGCGTTAGGTTTTCTAATGAAATGTGTTGTGGTCGTAGGTCTTTTAGTTGTAGTTGTCCTTATCCAGACAAAAGGGGGAAATGTTAATGCAGACATTTGACATCCAATTAAAACTGTTCTAGTTTTAAGACACCTGATTTCATTACTTGGTTTGTGCGGACAGAAAAGTAGGAATGGTCTGACCACGTGATACTCTCAAAGTTCAAAGGAAACGCGTCGATTGACCTTAAAAGGATCAAGAAGATTCAATTCTTTTGTTGTTTGACTGATAAACGTGTTGATTCATAAAGTGGCCACTAATTATTTTTTTTTAATCATGAACAAACGTGTAAACATGAAAGGATTAGAAACATATTAAATTCATCAGATATTTAGTTCATCAGATGTTTAAACACAGTCAGTTCATCAGATGTTTAAACACAGTCAGTTCATCAGATGTTTAAACACAGTCAGTTCATCAGATGTTTAAACACAGTCAGTTCATCAGATGTTTAAACACAGACAGTTCATAAGATGTTTAAACACAGTCAGTTCATAAGATGATTAAACACAGTCAGTTCATCAGATGTTTAAACACAGTCAGTTCATAAGATGTTTAAACACTGTTAGTTCATCAGATGTTTAGACACAGTCAGTTCATCAGATGTTTAAACACAGTCAGTTCATAAGATGTTTAAACACAGTCAGTTCATAAGATGTTTAAACAGAGTCAGTTCATAAGATGTTTAAACACTGTTAGTTCAAAAGACTTGGCAAAACGGTTGTTCATGAGACAAAAGGGCAGATGAAAACAATTCGCCTTATTGCGTTTAGTGTTTACAACTATGGAAGGTTCACTTAGTGTAACCGTAACATGTAATCAGCTTAGTGGCAAGTTTCAATTAGAGTAACGGCAAGCTGTCAGATCAAGCAATAAAATCGATTCTATCTTTCTTAGCCAGAGAAAAACAACTCTACCTTGCTTAGCCTGCGAAAAACAACTCTACATTCCAAATTATAGTTACTGCTAGAGTTAAGGATGATGTCATGTCTATTACAACATAGTTATGCAATTAAAACCTTTACATTTGTAATGCAATTAAATCGTTAACATTTGTAAAGCAATTAAAAGCTCTTCTTTTGTAATGCAATTAAAACCTGGTCAAATACGATGGTCAGAACTAAATACCATAGTCAGAAGAATGGCATCAAATGTACAGTCAAGCCAATGCACTTGGTGCCCCCCTCCCACTACAGTCTGGGTGCTTTCAACGAATGATCCCGTGTGTGGCGACCAAATTTGTACAAAATCGCTAAGAAAACACCATTTGTAATATTGGTGTCCCTCAAACATCCATGCCTCCTGTTAATGAACTAAAACAACAGGGTGAGACAAACGTCCCTCCTGCGTGCTCTGCTTGTTTCCCCTTGAATTGCTACAAAAAAAGTCAGTTCTGTGATTGTTTGCGGAGTGGCATACCTTGAAACTTGGTCCCTCATGCACCGTGCAGCCATCAAGTTCAGCCAGGCTCTCCAAACTCCAAGGTGCACCTGTTCATCTCCGTGCCGTTTGTTTGCTCAGTTAGAGCTCTGGTCAATGCCAATTTGATGTAATGATGGAGGTCAGTTATGGGCAATGCACAATATTTGCTGTCGTCGACACCTCGAGGGTAAAAGACCCGTGGACAGTCCCGAGTCGCTCACTTCCAAATGTGTTGCGAAGCACGCTACAAAGCAGCGAAACTTCTGGGGGAGAACTATATTTTCTCACCATTAACTCACTATAAAAGGAAATTGTTCAAAAATCATTAGTGTACATTGTATAAATTACAAGATTTTCTTAACATCCTTACGTTATAAGTATTTTTGATCTTTAAAACCTATGACTAATTGGTGAACGCGTTAGTGAATCATATCATAAAGACTGTTACCAGCGGTGGTGAATGTGATAGAATCATCCATCCTACGAAGTGAAACAGTTATAGTGTTATTTGATAGTAAATCCAGGAGAAATTAACAAAGGAAATTGTTGTATCAGACATACATAGGAAGTAACGTATGTTCTTCCCACAGAGGTGTAAGACAATGTCTGGCTCCAGACTGTGTCTGCTTGTCTTCCTATTTCTGTCTTTCGCCAATGGTAAGTTTTTTCTGGGATAATTGTAGTTTTTTTTTTGGTGTTTTTTTTAGACATGACATAGGATTAAACGCATTTAGTTGTATGTATGTGAATTAATTATACAGGCTATGGGCTACCTGATTGCATAGCGTACCTTTTACCTGAAAACTAAGCATACAGGCTACGGGCTACCTGATTGCATAGCGTACCTTTTACCTGAAAACGAAGCATACAGGCTACGGGCTACCTGATTGCATAGCGTACCTTTTACCTGAAAACGAAGCATACAGGCTACGGGCTACCTGAGTGCATAGCGTACCTTTTACCTGAAAACAAAAGCATACAGGCTACTTTTTATTCTGATCTCTAATTCAAATGACCTAAAAATTCAAGTCTACTAGCTGTAGCTTTGTAGAAGGTTTTTGTCCCTGTGCTAAATGAATGAAAATACTTTTAAGCTGTTGAGAATAAATTGTATAGTAACTCAGAGGAGAGCATGCACTAACAGGCAACAGTAGAACATTTAGTATAATATAGTACAACAATACGCATAGTTTAGTACATCAGTATGTATAGTTTAGTACAGCAGTATGTATAGTTTAGTACAGCAGTATGTATATTGTAGTACAACATTATGTATAAATTAGTACAGCATTATGCATATTGTAGTACAAGACTATGTATAGTTTAGTACAACATTGAGTATATAATAATACAACGTTATTTTATAGTACAATATTACGATTATTATAATACAACATTAAGCATGTTATAGTACAACATTGTGCGTCTTTTAGTACAAGTCCTAAGCACGTGAAGATGACCAAGGCAAGATTCGACTCGATTAAGATCATTACTTGAGTTGTGTTTTGTTTGAAGTGAGTGAGGGCTGCTCTATTCGTCAGCCTCACTCCAACGTCCTTTCCTGTTTCATATCATGGCAACACTCAGTGCAGACTTCACCACGGGGATAGATTTCAGATTTGAAATGGGTTTGATCCAAGGTAAATCAGTCCTACCCACCCTGGGTGCGTTCAACGATTTACATCCACTCGGGGTGTGGTTAGTGAATCCCATCCACATGGGGTGTGGTTAACGAGTCCCATCCACATGGGGTGTGGTTAGCGAATCCCATCCACATGGGGTGTGGTTAACGAGTCACATCCACATGGGGTGTGGTTAACGAGTCCCATCCACATGGGGTGTGGTTAACGAATCCCATCCACATGGGGTGTGGTTAACGAATCCCATCCACATGGGGTGTGGTTAACGAATCCCATCCACATGAGGTGTGGTTAGCGAATCCCATCCACATGGGGTGTGATTAACGAGTCCCATCCACATGGGGAGTGTGGTTAGCGAGTCCCATCCACATGGGGTGTGGTTAACGAGTCCCATCCACGTGGGGTGTTGTTAGCGAGTCCCAGCCACATGGGGTGTGGTTAACGAATCCCATCCACATGGGGTGTGGTTAACGAATCCCATCCACATGGGGTGTGGTTAACGAATCCCATCCACATGGGGTGTGGTTAGCGAATCCCATCCACATGGGGTGTGATTAACGAGTCCCATCCACATGGGGTGTGGTTAACGAGTCTCATCCACATGGGGTGTGTTTAACGAGTCCCATCCACATGGGGTGTGGTTAACGAGTCTCATCCACATGGGTGGGGCGTGGTTAACGAGTCCCATTCACATGGGGTGTGATTAAGGAGTCCCATCCACATGGGTGGGGTGTGGTTAACGAGTCCCATCCACATGGGGTGTGGTTAACGAGTCCCATCCACATGAGGTGTGGTTAACGAGTCCCATCCACATCGAATGGGATTTTGCTGTGGATTAAACTACAATATACAAACTTGGGTCTGACTCACTTAGACCACTCGACCACACTGCACACCACACACTAAAGTACCATATGATGCGTCGACGTGCATTGGAAAGTACTGTTATAAGTGACTACAGGAAACTTATACACACACTTGCAGGCTCCAGTTACACAAATGATATTACATTGTATCGAAGCACTTTAAACATTTCCAGCTATAATCTGCCACTGAATTCACAGATTGATTTTCAAAATGTCTTCGTATTACCCGTGTCAACTTATTTGAGAGCAGGGATGGCATAGTTTCAGCTGACTTATTTAACATCATAGAGTTGGATTATCCCATGACATAAATCATTAGCCCGCACTCCCCAAAGTCTTTATTCCAAAGATGCACTCTGATCAAGACAATACCTCATGTGTTGGAGGACATTGAAATGAAAGCTTTCTTAGCGAGAGGAGAGAAAAAATGCGTGCACTCTTAGCTGTAATGTATGCTAAGTCATTTCTTATGACATTGTTTATCTCTTGTGTTCGATGGCGAAGATTCAAACACGAATTTAATACTCAGATATACTTATATTTTGGTAGTAACTTTAGAATCTTAAAAAAAACAACAAAAAACAAAAAAAACAATGGATCATCAAATAACTGGGGCATAGCTAGAATAATGAAATGATACGCTACAAGGATGGCTTTAAAACAAGTTGACAGAGACAAGTCTGTGTTAAGTCAAGCAAAAGGACACAAGTCTGTGTTATTTCGAGTAGACAGATGCAAGTATGATTTAAAACAAACAGTTGAAACAAAATTCAATTTAAATTTTTTGAATTTATTAAATTTGTAATTTCGTTATTCGATTAAATCGGCATGGTTTTTGATTTTTATTTAAAATTAAATCTAGAAGAAATCGTAGAATTTCTACCAAAAAAAATGTATTACATATAAAAATGTTCCAAATACATATTTAACGCATAAATAGATCAAGAATAAATAGATCCAGAATAAATAGATCCAGAATAAATAGATCCAAATTATCTGCCAAATAAATCGACATAATTAGTGAGCCACAAAATTAAATAGATATCAAAACAATTATGGTGATGAGTGATACAGGCATACATTTTTTTTTCAAAAGCATAAAGGGTTCGAGCGACTCTTGCACGGGTCGACTAAGATAAGGGTTCGAGCGACTCTTGCACGGGTCGACTAAGATAAGGGTTCGAGCGACTCTTGCACGGGTCGACTAAGATAAGGGTTCGAGTGACTCTTGCACGGGTCGACTAAGATAAGGGTTCGAGCGACTCTTGCACGGGTCGACTAAGATTCTTGGACAACACACATTTTTTAAATGCATGACGAACTGTATTAAAAGGTTGCGGCATTAGGATGTTTGAGAACCACTGGTCTAAACAGACGACAGTCGCCCTTTCTGGTTTAGAACCTCAATCGAACTGCAAAGATTAATTACGACTAAGCTGTGTAAGAAAGTTAATCACCTTAGCTTACGGTTAAGCCTTGATAAACGGATTGCCCGAAAACTAAACCACGAGGCACGGAGGATGACGTCATTAAACGAAAGTTGTTAAAAGCTAATTGCATTTTAGAGCTTGGTGGCTAGAGAGATTAACATCATGGATGTTACACAATACACTAAGGGATAATATACTCAGTCAAACATCAGGATGTTTAGTAGCTAAATCCCGTTACCGATGTTATTGTCTCAACTGCATTGCATTTATCATATTATAATACTTTATTATTCAGTATGCTTAAGGAAACTTTTAGCATTGACACAGTCGCATTAAGAGACTTTGTTTATTAGGAGACTTTCTTCATTAACAGACTTCCTTCATAAAGAGACTTTCTTCATTAGCAGACTTTCTTCATAACAGACTTTCTTTATTTAGAGACATTCTTCATTAAGAGACTTTCTTCATTAAGACACTATCTTCATTAAGAGACTTTCTTCATTAAGAGACCTTCTTTATTACGAAACTTTCTTCATTAAAAGACATTCTTCAACAAGATACTTTCTTCATTAAGAGACTTTCTTTAAAAAGAGATTTTTGTTTATTGTGAGACTTTCTTCATCGAAAGACTGTCTTCATTTAGAGACTTTCTTTATTAAGAGACTTTCTTTATTAAGAGACTTTCTTCATTAAGAAGCTTTCTTCATTAAGAGACCTTCTTTATTATGAGACTTTCTTCATTAAAAGAAATTCTTCATTAAGATACGTTCTTCATTTAGAGACTTTCTTTATTACGAAACTTTCTTCATTGAAAGATTGTCTTCATTTAGAGACTTTCTTTATTAAGAGATTTTCTTCGTTAAGAGACTTCATTCATTAAGAGCCTTTCTTCATTGCAGTAATGAATTTAAATACGTTACCGACCAAATTGGAGTAGTCCTCATTTTATAGAAAGTAGATCACCAACGACCTCATCAATGTAACATCCTTTTCCATAAAACAATTTTAAACACCTAGAAAATACATTTTGTAGCATAATACACGAATTTAATTTTAACCTTAAGACATATTAAGATCGATGATTCAAAACGTAACTGGTTATGAACTTTTGAAATTGGTGGTTGAATTTATGTTGACGATAACCTTATGTCAGTCAACATTTCAGAGGTCTTTTGGGTTGTTGTTTATTTTAAAAATTGCGCTTCTTTTCACTCGCATTTAAAACTAAATGTAAAATTTATGATATTTTTTTCATTGATGAATTATGCGAAAGGAAATATTACCCCCTTAATGAGATTAGAAAAATCCTCATACTCTTTTTTTAATGATTTTTAAAGACCTCATACTAGTTGTTTAATAAGTAGTTGTTTTTTTTGTTTTTTTTTTTGTTTTTTTTTTTTGATAAAATACATTATACTAGATTTTTAATGGATTTTTTAAAAAAAAAATTTGTTTTTTTTATTTTTTTTTATTTTTTTTTTTTTTTTTTTTTAATAATTTTTTTTTTTTTTTTTTTTTTTTTTTTTTTTTTTTTTTGATAAAATACATTATACTAGATTTTTAATGGATTTTTTAAAAAAAAATATATCATACTTGTTGTTTAATAAGGATAATAAATGAATGACTGCGTTCAAGCTGTGCAAATGAAACAATATAACAAGGTACGTGGAAGCTTGAATCAAAGGACTGGAAAGTAGGATGGGAACGTTTTCGGCTAACAGCCTTCCTCAGCAACCAAAATGCTCTGTTTCTTGTCATATTTCCTTCTTATTTTAATGTTTCAAACTACCATCTCACATGACGTTAACCAACATGGGTAATTATTGATAATTTTTTCTGCACTAGTAACGTGACGTTAAAAAAAAATTATGTCATGTTGTGGGCGAGAATATCTGTTTATGCTACCTGTTGGAATTATTTACATTTCGGACAATTTTTTGAAGATCCCTCGAAATCCAAAAAAGTATTTTAACGTAGGTTGATGAGTTGACGCGTAAAGCAACCAAACAGTTTGAAAACAGGATTACTATTTAATTATTTTTTTTAAAACTAAATTCTCTGGGCAAAGTAAACGAAAAAAAAAAACCTGAAAAAAACAACAAATTTTTCAATCTAAATGCAAACGAACGCCTCCTACAAAACGAAAACTCAACAATGGAGGGTCAGCTGCCTTAGTTTGACAGTTTGGACATATTTCCACACCAGAACAGCCCTAAAGATACCGTAAACCCATTGAAAAGAAGTGTTTACCGTACGGATTAAAGAACACTTTTAATGGGGGACAAATATTGACTCTATTTCGTAAGGTTAAAAAAATGATTTTACTGTACAGGAATTTTTTTTAAAAAATGGGGGGGGGGGGATTGAAGAAAGTGTAAATACGTAGCAGAATGTCGAGTATTGCTTGGAGGTGGCAACATGTGCAATTTATTTCGTAAGGTTAAAAAAATGTTTTTACTGTACAGGAATTTTTTTTAAAAAATGGGGGGGGGGGATTGAAGAAAGTGTAAATACGTAGCAGAATGTCGAGTATTGCTTGGAGGTGGCAACATGTGCAGAAAAAGTAGGGGTTCTCGACTTCTTCTTAATAAGGCTTAAAGATCTGTGAGACCCCATATGCTCTGTCCAGATGCTAGAATGCAGTGGCGTAGCGAGGGTGTTTGGCGCCCGGGGACAAGATTCGCGCCCGGGGACAAGATCCATTTTTAGCGCCCCTTTATCTTTTTTTCAACTCTAAAACCCATTATTTTCATCAATAAAATAATATCAAAGCACATTTTGGCGCCCCTAACTAGCTGGCGCCCGGGGACATCTGCCCCCGTGCCCCCACCACGCTATGCCTCTGCTAGACTGACTATACCGTATCCAGATGTGAGACCGACTATACTCTAAGTCAGTGGTTCTCAACCTTCCTAATTCCGCAACTTTGTTATAAAGTTCATGATGTTGTGGTGATCCCCAACCATAAAATGATTGTAGTAGCCTCTTCATAAATATGGGTTTTCCGGTGACCTTAGGAAGCCCCTCTGTCAGGTACTAAGAACAGCTAAAGCTATCAAATTAGTGAGACAAGCTATAATCTGTGTAAGTTGTAAGACAAGCTGTAATCTGCGTAAGTTGTAAGACAAGCTATAATCTGTCTAAGACCCGATATCATATGTCTGATGTAATGAGACCCTCTAAAATATGTCTAAAAAGTGAGACCATCTAAAGAGTGAGACCATCTAAAGAGTGAGACCATCTAAAGAGTGAGCCCATCTAAAGAGTGAGACCATCTAAAGAGTGAGACCATCTATAAGTAGGCGCCTGTAAAAAGCCCGCCCCTTGTATTTTCTGATTATTTAATCCCTTTCTTGTTTAAATTTAAATAAGACGGAGATCACAGTATAAATTAATTTTTTTTTTCTTTTTAAATGCAAACTGAATATCAAATTAATATATATCCGCACTGTGTCATTATTGCTTAGTTCCTTAACAATTCCCTAAACATTCCCTATCAATTTCCTAACATTTCCTAACAATTCCCTAACAATTTCATAACATTTCCTAACAATTCCCTAACATTTCCTCACAATTCCCATACAATTTAATAAATTCTATAACGATTCCCTAAATTGATGGCGTCAAAATTAAATGTCAATTACCTTAAGTCCCCTTTTTTTACATTTTATTTTATTTTTGAAGTGAGCATTTAATTTCAAACTTTAAAACGAACGAAATTTAGAGTTGGCATAAAATAAACAATTTTAGAGCTGGCATAAAACACATAATTTTATATCCGTTGTCTGTTTTATCTAATATCTTTCACTTCTCTAATAGCAGATAAACTTTTTCGAGTGCATTATGCGCCTCTTACCACTAAAAAATTAGATCCACTGGCAGTGGATATTCTAAGCCTGGATATTGACTGCCTAAGCCGGATTAAGTTTTCACACAAGATTCCCTCTGGGCAAACGCTTAAGTTATAGTTGTGGCTTTTATAGCAAACACATAACTCCAGCAAGTTGATACATAACAAATACATAACACACAAAATTTGAAATATAAACAAATCATAACTCAAGCAAGTTGATGTATGACAAATTCATAACTCAAAGAAATTCATAATTCAAGTAAGTAGATACATAACAAACTCTAGCTCAAACAAATTGATTTATAACAAATGCGTAGCACAAGCTAATTGATTTATAACAAATACGTAGCACAAGCTAATTGATTTATAACAAATACGTAGCACAAGCTAATTGATTTATAACAAATACGTAGCACAAGCTAATTGAAGTATAACAAATACGTAGCACAAGCTAATTGATTTATAACAAATACGTAGCACAAGCTAATTGATTTATAACAAATACGTAGCACAAGCTAATTGATTTATAACAAATACGTAGCACAAGCTAATTGATTTATAACAAATACGTAGCACAAGCTAATTGATTTATAACAAATACGTAGCACAAGCTAATTGATTTATAACAAATACGTAGCACAAGCTAATTGATTTATAACAAATACGTAGCACAAGCTAATTGAAGTATATAAGCAGCGCCGGTCTTTAGGGTGTGCGACCGTATGCCTTCCCACCGGGCGCCATGGCCATAGGGGCGCCTGGGGCACCCAGTAAATATTTAAATCCCTTAGTTTATTATAGTTAAGTGTTACGTACTGTTGAAAAACTAAACATATAACTTTAATGTCCATGTTAAAATGTGTATGGTTAGATGAATGTATAGAATCATAACACGTGCTCCATAGTATGGTTAGCTACATGTATAGCTTCATAACACGTGATCCATAGTATGGTTAGCTACATGTATAGCATCCTAACACGTGCTCCATAGTATGGTTAGCTACATGTATAGCATCCTAACACGTGCTCCATAGTATGGTTAGCTACATGTATAGCATCCTAACACGTGGTCCATAGTAAGGTTAGCTACACGTATAGCATAATAACATGTGCTCCATAGTATGGTTAGCTACATGTATAGCATCATAACACGTGATCCATAGTAAGGTTAGCTACACGTATAGCATCCTAACACGTGCTCCATAGTATGGTTAGCTACATGTATAGCATCATAACACGTGATCCATAGTGTGGTTAGCTACATGTAAAGCATCCTAACACGTGATCCATAGCCTACGTCGTAATTGCAAAAAAGAGGGGGTGCCTCACACCGACAGGGAAAGGGGCGCCGAACGCGTGCTCGCACAGGGCGGAAAGTTTACCTAATGCCGGCGTTGATATAAAAAACAAAGCTCAAACAATTTGATGTATAGAAAATTTGAACGGCATAATTGTTAATCTGTTTCTGGGAAACTGTGACCATAATTTGAGACGCAAAATCTGTTTCAAATTGAGCTGGTCTCCTATCACCTTTCCTGTAAATCTAACTGCCATCTGTTGAAAATGGAAAATTAACTAGTATTAATATAAATGATCAGCTGAAGTGATTCGATTATGAATTCTTGGAATCGGTTACCTGAGTAAAAGCGATACCATTGAAATAAGGTTTAAATTTAATAATCAAATTTTAGAGAAAAAAAATGAACCGATTCTTCCAACATTCCATTTCATCAACTTGCCAGAGGCAAAACATTGAATCTACAACTTGATTTTTACTTTATTCCCATAGATCAGGGGGGAAGGGGGAGGGGGTTATTGGTATAAAAAATAGAATATTTTAGAGCCCTGACCATCTGTGCATTTTATAAATAGTTATTTATAATTATGTATTGATCTGTGTTCCTTTATATTGATAGCCTTTTTTAAAAAAAAAAATTCAAAATGAGATATGCGATAATGTGAAAATCTTATGTGGATTTTAAACAGACTGTGAATAATTGTTCATTTAAGTTGTTTCTTTATGAAGAAATATTTAAACATAACTTCCAGGAAGACATTGGTCCGTGCATTGATTGGTGGTCATTTTGTTTGTCAAATGAGAACAACATGAACCGGAAGTGAACTCACCGGCAATTTGAAAGACGTCATGCCGCGTTGAAGGGTTATCCCTGTGAAGATCAAGGTCATCTCACCCCCCCCCCCCTCCTTAATATTGACCCATGGTGTTCAGAAGCAGGGAGGATACACGTCACCAAACTGGATCACAGCGTGGCAACCAGATTGGTGGTCTATTTGTTTGTCAAATGAGAACAACATGAACCGGAAGGTAACTCACCGGCAATTTGAAAGACGTCATGCCGCGTTGAAGGGTTATCCCTGTGAAGATCAAGGTCATCTCACCCCCCCCCCCTCCTTAATATTGACCCATGGTGTTCAGAAGCAGGGAGGATACACGTCACCAAACTGGATCACAGCGTGGCAACCATGACGTCACCGAACTGGATCACAGCGTGGCAACCATGACGTCACCGAACTGGATCACAGCGTGGCAACCATGACGTCACCAGCCGGAGCACACTAGACACGAAATTATCCGAGCTTACCGAAATACTGAGACCTGATAATAAGACTGATACTTTGGTGATAAGACTAAGACTTGGTGTTTGGCTGCAGGACGTACTAAAGTAATCAAAAAGGTGCTGCATTTCAGTTCTGAGCAAGCTTTCAATTCCCAATCATTGAGCGAGCTTTGAGGTTGCAGTCATTGAGAAAGCATTCAGTTCAAGGTCATTAAGCAAGCATTCATTTCAAGGTCATTAAGCAAGCATTTAGGCCACAGCCATTAATATAGCCTTCAGGTCACAGTCATTGAGCAAGCATTCAGGACACAGTCATCCATTATTAAATTTCCTTGATGACAGCTTCTTTGACATTCGAAATGACCAGCAGTGTCTTAAGTTTGTGCACTGCACAGTCTTTCCGATATCTTATAGGATAGGCATGATTATTATTTAAAAAAAAAATCATCAGTCAGCATGTCTTACAGTGGCCAATAGGACAATGACGTCATATCAATTAATGCAAAAAACTTTTTAAAAAAGCCTCTAACTCATCTCCCGAACAAATAACACTGGCCATAATAACATCTTGGAAATGTAGTTGTTGAATACAGTACGGAATCAGACAAAATGTTTATTATCTCTCAAAGACGACCCCCGATGACTGAAGAAGATGAAAAAAAAATTGATCAACTGTAGCTGACGTGGAGCGAATATAAATGTCCTCAGTGACCCCTTCTTAACGCAATCAACATGGTGTTTTTAGGAGGTAGCCCATATTCGAAGTGTTCGCCTCTGTTTTCGAGCAGTGGTAGTCAGTAGGCTACTGGTATACACTGTCTGTGGCAGTGAGTGTGATATTGGTATAGCATGTCTGTGGTAGTGAGTATGCTATTGGTATACAATGTCTGTGGCAGTGAGTGTGATACTGGTATACAATTTCTGTGGCAGTGAGTACGATATTGGTATAACATGTCTGTGGTAGTGAGTATGCAATTGTTATACAGAGTCTGTGTTAGTGAAACATACCAACATTCTATTTAAAGTGCAAAGTACATTTTTAAGGATGAGAATTATCATGACCAATATCTGCTGACGTCACTGATATTACATGGAGACAAAAAATGGGTCACCTTTTCTAAATTGTTCAAACAGTTATTTTAGGAAGTAATCCGTGAACTTTTAAGCCTATTTTTTGGTAAGTCGGGTTAGCTTAACAATTTTCAACGTACTAGTGGTACGACTCTCGGTTTTAAATGTACTTAAGTGATTGTAAGAGTGCGACAAGACCAGTCAATCTTGAGCTGTAATCAATGGCAATACACACAAACAAGGTGGCTAACCAGGCTTGAGTTCATCAATAATACCCAATACCCTGGCCACGACAGAGAAGTCGAAGCTTCTAGGCTGTTCTCCGATGGCAAAATTCAGATACGAAATGTGGTGTAATAAGAGATTTGTGTTGAGGCAGGCTCCATTAAGACAAACCGGTTTCAATTTAATGAATGTGATTTGATATTATCAAAACGATAATGCAATAAGCCTAAAGCTAAATTAAAGGCAAACAAATCTGAGAAATAATGTTTTAAACATTTGCACAGCACATTTTTCAACATTTGTAGTTTTATGATAAAAAAATTGGTAAACTTTTGATCGTCAAATTAAAGAAACTGATTTGATACACCATAGGTCTAACTTGGGCCACACTCTAACAACGCTAACCACACTCACCACACTAACCACACTAACAACACTAACCACTCTAACCACTCTTACCACACCAACCACATTAAACATACTAACCACTCTAATAACACTAACCAAAAAAAGTACAACAACAGGCCACACATGGACTCCACATAACCACATTGAACATACCATACCTGGTTCCACACAAACCACACTAACCAAATTAACCACACTAACCACACCCACCACATTAACCGCATTAAACAAACCGTTAAATTATGAACTTTACTCTTAAAGTGAACTGGTGTTTCAAATTGTGTCACCTTCTGCACATGGTGCATTTTGAAGGGCTCCGCACCAGTGTCTGGAAGTGACTGGGGGCGGGGGGGGATCTCAATCTTGTCACCAGGCTGAAAGTCTCTTGGCCAACGTATTAAGATCTCCTCTATACGCTAGCGAGACGTGGACAGTGCACAGCAGACATGCTAGTGAACTAAGCCATCTCCACCTACGCTGACAAGATAAACTTCTTGGCATAAGATGGCATTCTGTTATAATATATAGAGACATACTATTTAGAGTTCAAATAACACATCTATATTAACATGTACATTTACCCACTGTTCCAGGAGCCGGTGCAGTAGAATGCTACTGGTGCAGTGGTGTGGGCAAAGACAGACAGTGTGAACTGTCCCCGCGGAATGTCAGTACTGGACCAGTCAGCATCAAGTGCAGCATGCGATATTGCATCTCCACCAAGGTCATGGACGGAGGTATAACTACATTTATTGCGGGTATTTTAGGGGCAGACATTCTTAAGGTTGATCGATCAGTTCTAAATTATTGATCATCGTGGAATTTTTAATTAAAACAAAAGAGAAATAATGATCAATTTTTTGAAAGGTAAATGATTCTTTCACTGATACCCCTTTCGCTATGACTCATACTCTTTTTCCCCATCATCCATAACACATTCCCCATCATTTAGTCAATAGTAAAAAGATTGAATGCGTAAAAAGAACATTGGGTTAGCATGTGTAAAACAATTTACTTAAGTGTATATCTTGGGAAATGTATGTTGGGTAATATATGTTGGGAATAATATGTTGGGAAATATACGTTGAGAAATTTATTATGTTTGGAAATATATGTTCGGAAATATATGTTGGGAAATATTGGTTTGGATATATATAGGGAAATAATCAAAAGTCTTCTAATGTGTTTGCACTGAAATGGCCGTGGCTAAATTACTTTTCTTTATAAATCCAATACGGTATGACATACAATTTGAAGTGGCTCACAATCAAATGATCAATCCATGAACTTTTTTACTGAATGGAACAAACTCGGACTGAACAGCCACACATGAATGTCAAACTTGGTAACATATGGTGGCCAATTATCGCAATGGATAAAATTATGTGTGCTTTATCGCACCGCTATGAGCATATGCTCGTTGTTTCATTTAGAAATATGGTATAGAAATGTACATGATGTGGTCCAACCCAACACATATAGAAATGTACATGATGTGGTCCAACCCAACACATATAGAAATGTACATGATGTGGTCCAACCCAACACATATAGAAATGTACATGATGTGGTCCAACCCAACACATATAGAAATGTACATGATGTGGTCCAACCCAACACATATAGAAATGTACATGATGTGGTCCAACCCAACACATATAGAAATGTACATGATGTGGTCCAACCCAACACATATAGAATTGTACATGATGTGGTCCAACCCAACACATATAAAAATGTACAAGATGTGGTCCAACCTAACACATATAGAAATGTACATGATGTGGTCCAACCCAACACATTTTCCAATTTAATCCAGTTTTTTCTTGTTTAATATACAATCATCTTTTTATTGTCTTTGAAATTATGCTAATCAGTTTATTCTTATTTCCTTTTTTTAACCTTCAAAGAAATATATATATTACGAAATCCAATTTGTAACACTATTTTATTTGATGTCAACAGTGACCGGGGAGGTGCAGTCCTTTGCCCGACATTGCGACCACATCCCTCACGGAAACGTGTGCGTCAAGGACTCGCGTTTGATCACGTGCTTCGAGACGTGCACGAGTGATCTGTGCAACTCTGGCAACCCTGACCCGTCCTACCTGAGAACGCAGGAGTACTCCTTCACATACCTGGGACTTCCGGGTCTCGGCAGTGCTCTTTATAGATCTGAAGATAAGGATCTTGTGTACAACGACGCGCTCGATATGAGATCAGAAACAAGGCAATATAAAGATTTCGTAACAAAATCGTCAAAAGTTCCAAGTCTGGAGAGTTTAAAAATTGTGGCCTATAAAAGCAAAGAGGATAGGGATAAAGAGAGTGGTGGGAGTGGACAGAGAGGGAACAAAGTAACCAGACCTTGGAAATGGTGGGAGATGACCAGAGGTATCCGTAGAAGGAAGGGCTATGCTGGTACGGTAACCAAGGACAATACACAGCAGGTAACCATGGACAAAAAACAGCAGTCAGTTGTCGATCACGAAGTTACAAGACCAGCATCTAGAGTCGAGTCAAAGATTGCTGTAAATAGTGTTAAAGCTGTACACTCCTCTGTAAAGGCAACTGAGAACAAAGACAAGACTACGGGATATGATGACAGAGAGAAGACAGAGAATTCCAAATTAAATTACAAGGGAGATAAACGTAGCAAGGGAGATAAGTTATCACAGCGCCATTTGGAGAGCGATTCAAGACATACTTTTGATTATATTGGTTATCCCTCTTTGTCCAAGAAAAAGCAAAGTAAGTTAGTCAGCGAGAAAAAGCCAATGAATATTTATCATGAGTTTGAGAAAATATCCAACACGGTTACTGTTTCGCCAGACGCAAAGAAACACAGACAAGCAGAAAGAAACAGAGACATCCCATCTGTTCAAAGTAATTTGGAAATTCAACAAAGTGTTAAGGACCCTTCAAAGGGGAGGCCATCTCAAGAAACGTTTCCTAGTGAATCGATCGATTCAAGAAACAAAATCGAACACGACGGATTTGAATATGGCATTACACAATCCGCGCAAGGTAATATACAATCCGCTCAAGGTAATATACAATCCGCTCAAGGTAATATGAAATCCACCCTAGGTAATATACAAACAGCGCAAAATGTCGAAGGTATCTCACATAATAATGGTAAAAATCTGAACGACCAGTTACTATATGTAAATGGGATTTCTCGGAATACTCAGGTCAATAAGAAAGGTTTACTAAAAGATGAACAACGTCATCAAGATTTGACAACTTTAAAAAGTTTGAGCCCCGAGTATTCTGATCTGACCGATGATGAGCTGGAACTCCTGCCTCTGTTCGAGGCTCTGATATCCGATGAGGAGCTGGCCAAACATTTTAAAACTTTGTTCCTTGATGATGAAACAGCGAAGGAAACAGGCTCGCAAATGAAACATAAGTTTCCAACTGTTAGACCAACATACGGGCTTCTGGAAACTGCAAATATTTATTCTTCTCAGAGAGATTTCCCTGGAGCGCTGGGGACGCGATCGCCAACACAGGAACTCATAGACAACTTCCGGGAGGAGGAGCACGTGGATCATCATGAAGGTGTTACTAAATTTAGAAAACATGATAAACAATTTGAACATGATTTCATTCCTCAACCATTCAGAATTAGATCGCTAGAAATAAAAGACGAAATGATAAATGCAAAAAATAAGCAAAGTTTTGACAAGACAAATTTGAGTACAACTGCTACATATGTGCATGTCTCTTCAACTTTATCAAAAAATCCAGCAAATATCGATCAAATTAAACAACACAGCTCACTTCCACCATTTTTCTTAAAACTAGACAATGGCAAAGGGTCGATCTATAATACGAAAGACAAAATGCTGAATCCCTACGAAATAAATGAGGTAAGTGGTAAGGTCACATCTCCAGGGACCGATACGGCTAAACCGAAGAGAGCTTTCCTGGAGATGGATCGGTTTAGGTCACCATCAGACTCTAGCTCAGATTTATCCCCCAACCATAACAATCTGAAAACGAGGTCACCTCACTGGGTCAGTGAGGCCTATGGTAAGCGTGTCACAATCCACACTGGTAAAACTAAGCAGCCCCAGATGCCACTTGAAATGAATGCCCTAAAATTCGCCAAACCTGGTTTGAGGACTACTGTCCTGAACACCCAGAATGCTGTAAAAACATCCCAAACGCCACTACTTAAAAATATGTTTTCAAGCTTTGAGAAAATGAATGGAAATATTGAAAACCATCCCGCTGATGTCGTCACAAAGGATGAAACCATCCAAACTGACAGTAGCCACAAGTCATCTCAACAAAGACGTGAACTTGTCGATAGATTAAAAGATGAGAAAATTTATCATATCAACAATGCACTAACAGAAAAGTCTGCATCGGTGTTTCCTCCAGGAAAAGACAAAATCAACAAAAGAGACAATTATATAGTAGATTTTCAAGGCCATGGCAATTTAGTAAACAACAAATACGCTCTTAATAAACAACGTGTACATTCTGACAAGAGGTCTGGCACTGACATCACAGACACCAGTTTAACGTCTGACAACAGGTCTGACACAACAACCATAAGAGAGACCACTTTCACGCCACACCCGATAACATTTGATACCAGATTGACACAACTCTATCTGAATGACTTCTTAACGTCAATAAATCTGAAACTTGGTCAACCGAAGTCTGATTCTCAATTTCTACGAAGTATCCAATTAGACAAAGAGAAATTTGTCACACCACGCAGTGATACGTACAGAACAACTTTATTTACTGGGCAGATCGACAGAGGGGACAACGAAACCTTTACTGAAGAAGAACGCATGGAAAGATCTGGTAATATTTCCAAATCTATGAGCGCTACAACAGTTAGAACACTAAGTGATTCACCAAGTGGGTCACTCATTGATACAGTAAACGGGTCACTCAGTAGCACAGTAAGCAGGTCACTGAGTGATACGGTAAGTGGGTCGCCTACTGAAGAGGTTCAGATTGCGACTCCTAATCCTTATTTTAGCGTAACTGATTCTGAGAATTTGAAAACAGAATTACCAGATAAGCGAATTGCAATAGATAAAAGCGTTCAATCAAAAACAGAAGATGTTCTACTAGCACACACAGCATCTGGAAACAGCACTTTAAAAATTGATAACAGATTCGGAAATAAAATCAAGGCGAACGAAAGGAAGCACTCCACAGACTCCGTTCATTTCAGGACAAGTGGAGTAGATAAAGATTATACGTTCAAAGCATCCGTTTTTGTGACTTCCTCTACGAGATATACACCGGAAGTCATAACCTTTCCCCGAGAGAGCTCTGATAAAGTCAGCCATGTTGAACCAGTAGCTCGCACAATAAAAGACAAGAACCAAAAAAATAAGAAAATCGGTTTATCCGCGAAGGGCAACCCTGTACATCCTCAAACCTTACCACGAGAGACATGGAGAACAACCAATGTCCTACCTTCAGATACATTTAAAACTTCGTTTAATTCTTTAGAATCTAACCCCAATGAATTATTTCAAAGTAAGCTGTCATCTACTAAGCAAAACAGCCGAGACATATTTTTAAGCTCCACTGAAGCATCTTCAGTGCGGAAAGGAAGTCTTACACCGTACACGCCACTGCAAGACGACACTCCATCTGTCAATAATGAAGACCGCTATGTATTAGAAGCGTACAAAGACACACTGAAAGAGCTCAGTCAGAACAGCGGCGCATCTCACAAACATGCTTTGAAGTCCCT